TCACCCTTATTAACCAAATTTGGCTCAAATAAAAATACCATTTGATAAACAAATCAATTTTGAACCAATTCATGTTTTTTTTTTAAATGAAACTTCTATGACATTGTGTACCCAACTCTTTTAGGGAAATATCTAGAGAATGTTTACCAATATGGAGTCTGCTTTCAAATGAAATCTCGCGGGACTTCAAGTTTTGGGAATTCTAGCATCTATTTTTAGTTGCGTACCATATACTATTTTTAGTAAGTGTACACTTTTAAATAAAAACAAACAAATAATTCATGAATCATCACTCAAAACAATATAGTACAACATGTTTTGGTACGATGTCTGTTATTGAATAAATACACCATTATTCATGATTGCAAAGTCATGTTTTCAATTAAAAAAAGCATTTGGGTCACGGGCCACCAAATATTATAATATTATAATATATTATGCAAAGGTATCCGAACCTAAATTCTTGCTAGTCGCGTGATAATTAGGGCCGGGCAGCAATCACACTGGCCATAGCTTTCGCAGAAGCGGTGGGTCTACCGCAGCGACGGTGGAGTATTCGTCGCAGAAGCGGTGGATAAAATATGGCCGTTTGTTGTTTTTGGTAAGTATATGACTGAATTTTGTTTTATGTTTTAATGTTTTACTGGAAACACTCAGTGAGACTGGAGCCCACATATGTACTCTTTCAACCTATTACACGGGCACGGTGCAATTCATTGCCGTTTATGCAAACACTTCTGTACAGTTTGATGAGGGGACGTCACTTTTGCCTAATTTTGGTTAAAACACATACAAATGTGTGCAAAACGACCCCATAATACATCGGCATCACATCGAATCAATGACACTTTCACAAATTAACCATAATTTGGAAAATTGGGAAATTGTTATTGCCTGTTTATAAAATAAATGACAAAAAATGTTTTCGTCGCAGACGGCGGTGGATTCGATTGCAACGCAGTGCGGTGGGCCCGATACCATCAATTGAAAAATGCCTTACGTCAAGTTAAATTCTTAAAATATACAAAATATTTTAAGAATTTAACTTGACGTAAGGCATTTTTCAATTGAGTACAGCCCTTTTCTTACTTTGACATCTGAGAAACGTGTTTATTTGATGTTTAAAACGATATTAATTATTATATATACTCTTGTACAAAATATGTCCGAGGTCCGCTTTCATTTTCCTTCCATTGAAAATTACTTCAGCCATAATTATCATAGAATAATCCACGTTCAACTATTTATTGCGGGTTATTACTAAGTATCAAGTATTTTTGAGTGTGAATGCACCATTCCAGTTGAAAAGCGCAGGAAAGTAAGAACATATATAGTGCCCTATCATATTTGTATTTCCAAGTTCATATTAGGGATCATGCATTTGACAACCTGGACCGTAGAGGAAACGGCGAAAACTAAGAGTCATAATATTTGACCTTGATGCACCACCGAAAGGAAATTTAGCGATGTGCAGGGAAGTCCACAAATGTGATGAATCCAGCCAAAATATCACATGTGTCAGACATTTACATGTTACACGTGATCACGTGTTATACCTTATAACCAATGCCGATTTCTGACTTAAAAGCGGAATGGCAGGTATATATATATATAAGCATACAGTTTTGCATTGCGGCATATGAGTTATAAATACATAAAGTTAACACATATTCATGGCATTTTCGAGGGTATCATATTAGTTATAAAGATTTTGAAAGGCTATACAATATGGCCGTATATAAACGGTTGTTTGAAAATATAATACATAAACTATTAATAAACAGCAGTCGTGTATATAAACATATAAACTTTATAATACTGCATGTTTGTAACGTAATTTTTCGTTGGAAAATCGAGACGTTTATTTAATTATAGAGCTTTTTGGTTTATTTGTAACTTTATTTTCTGATTTTTACACACATGTACAAGTATAATAAAGAACTTCGATAGCTATTAATATTGCGAACAACCGTTTATATACGACCATATAACCTGTTGGATTTATTTATAACGAACTCATAATACATCAAGCATTTTTTGTTAAAAAAAAAAAAGAAATAATTTCAAAAATTGACGGCAGCCATGTATTTAAAATGTACATTGTATGTATATAAACGTCACGATTATCCAATAAACGTGCAGTATTATAAACACATACACGCAAAATTAAGGATGTTCGATAAAATTATATTCTTTAAATTAAGCATGATGCCAGAATATGATAACACAAACATTTAGAGCGGGAAAAAAACTTAGGGTTCACCGATCTCATTTCCTGTACGTGAATTTGATTTTTTCCTTAATTGTGGTTATTTCAAGGTCATATGACTTAAATGTAAGTCTGAAAAATCTTTTTTCTCCCGCTTATTACGTTCTTTACTATATTTGTGTACATTATTAGAAAAAGACTTAATTCCATAAAATACTTCTATTACCTTTTTTTTATTTCATTTCATACTTTAAAATTCTTTAAACATATACCATATTTGAAACCATTTTTTTTGTAAATGTCACAATTTAAGAAAAAGAAGATAAACTAAAGCTATTAAACGCGTAGGTCTTTACTAAAAAGTAATAGAGAAAAACTTTTCCTGAAATAACTCTTACGCTGTAAACATACAATTTATTTATATTGGTGTTCTCACTATATATGGTAATATAACACAGTGACATTAAATTTTCGTATTCAAGAAGCATGTTCTGTTTATCTTTACGAGTATCTCTTATACATGTATGTCTGTATGACAAAAAATGAACTTACGGTCTTTTAAGTCAAAGGTTGAACGTGGATTATTCCATGATAATTATGGCTGAAGTAATTTTCAATGGAAGGAAAATGGAAGCGGGCCTCGGACATATATTTGTACGAGCGTATATATAGTAATTAATATCGTTTTAAACATCAAATAAACACGTTTCTCAGATGTCAAAGTAAGAAAAGGGCTGTACTCAATTGAAAAATGCCTTACGTCAAGTTAAATTCTTAAAATATACAAAAATGGTATCGGGCCCACCGCACTGCGTTGCAATCGAATCCACCGCCGTCTGCGACGAAAACATTTTTGTCATTTATTTTATAAACAGGCAATAACAATTTCCCAATTTTCTAAATTATGGTTAATTTGTGAAAGTATCATCGATTCGATGTGATGCCGATGTATTATGGGTCGTTTTGCACACATTTGTATGTGTTTTAACCAAAATTAGGCAAAAGTGGCGTCCCCTCATCAAACTGTACAGAAGTGTTTGCATAAACGGCAATGAATTGCACCGTGCCCGTGTAATAGGTTGAAAGAGTACATATGTGGGCTCCAGTCTCACTGAGTGTTTCCAGTAAAACATTAAAACATAAAACAAAATTCAGTCATATACTTACCAAAAACAACAAACGGCCATATTTTATCCACCGCTTCTGCGACGAATACTCCACCGTCGCTGCGGTAGACCCACCGCTTCTGCGAAAGCTATGGCCAGTGTGGCAATGGGGGCGAATTTTATGAAATGTGAACCCACTGATAAACTTTGAGGCATTATTTCATCACTAACATTTTGTGTTCAAAAATATAGACTGAAATGTAGACCTGCATTAAAATAGCTTTTGTCCAAATCACGCAAATTTATTGAATTACAGCATGACATAAATATGTCACGGTTCTGGTTGACTTTCGATACGGGATTGGCTTCAGCGAACAGGTCTAGCAGTACTATAAAACCTGTTCGCTGAAGTCTCTTTAGTAAGCAACTACCCATTTTGATATTTATATCAAAGCATGACTACTGAAGGTCACCGGTTCACCTCGTAAACTGAGGTCACGGGGTTGCCTCGTGTATATGGCGGTTAAAGGTCACGGGTTCGAAACCGTTTGTATCATATTGAAGAAGATTATAAAATAGTTAAAACAGCCTCTTCGCCTGACACTCACTCAAAATGAGGTAGATAGTTCGAGAAAGATAATTGAGCCGCACCATGACGAAACCAACATAATGCGTTTGCGACCAGCATGGATCCAGACCAGCCTGCGCATTCGCGCAGTCTGATCAGGATCCATGATGTTCGCTTATAAACCCTATAACAACTAGAGAAACTGATAGCGAACAGCATGGATCCTGATCAGACTGCGCGAATGCGCAGGCTGGTCTGGATTTATGTTCGCCGCAAAGGCATTATGTTGGTTTCGTCATGGCGCGGCTCAATTATGTCAAAGTATCTTATTAATGTGATATTTTAATAGAGTAGCACTAAACTTCACAAAGTCATCATTTCCTGTATAAATGAGCGATAATAGAGGGAGGGACTTGGTTTAGTGATAACGTGCATTACTAGTTATTCATGGATCGCTGATTCGATCCCTTACTTTACTACTATTAATTCTTATGGCCTTTTGAATGAAACAATTAAATGGCGGGCAGGTTAAAGAAGTGTCGTCTCTGGAACAGGGTAATTAAAATAAGGTTTCATTGGCTTAGTGGTTAGGGGTGCTTATTTTCATATCACTGCCCCATTACTGTATTGAGTTCGAATCCCGTCAGGGACTTTAGATTCTTAAATGTGAGTAAACTAACCAGCTAATCAACAAAAGGCTGGTTGCTGTAGCTCGTATCTGAGGTCTTCCTCCACCAGCCAGGCTTAAATGTCGTTTAATGACATGTGTAGTGTGGTGTGACTTTACAAATTCACCTACTACATGTTTAGAAATTAACTTTTTGTCATGATAGGGTTCAGTATAAAAGCAAAACAAAAATTATAATTTATTTATCTTTTCTTCTACGGTTTTGAAAATATTTCAAGTGTGCACATATGAAACAATTGATCAATAACTGAGATTAAATGATATATAAACAAAGAATAAATCTGGACACGATCATTTTTTCCACAATATATCATTTTTGTAGAATATGTACATGTATGTTGTCAATATATAGAACTTGATCTGCTCTGCTCAATGTAAACATCCAAAGTACAAGACGTAAATAAAAGGCCTCATCTTGCTGTTTGAATGTTTAATGTCTGTGGGAGTGACCATCGGTGTGGGAGTGGTCATGCGCCGAGTGATCGTGGGCGGAGTGATCGTGGGCGTGACTGTGATCCTCATCATGGTCATGTGTCTCTGGACTCCAGCCAATCGTACAACACGACACGTGTTTATGTTCGTCATGTACCTGGAAAAATAAGTATTGTGCGTTAATGGTTATATCTATAAAGATTTAAAATTGAATTCTTCATTTTGAGATGAATGTTACATTTAAACTAGGGCAAATAAAAGTTAAAAATAATGAACTCGGTGTAAGTTAACGCATCACGTTCCTGCTAAAGACAAAATTTTAAGGGGAAAAAAGCAGAACACCTGTAAATTTGGGATAATTTTTAATAAAAAAAGAAAGAAAGTTCAAATTGGTCTGAATATTGTCAGGTGTACAAATCAATTGACATTACATAGCCAAGATACATATACTTACCACACATAGTATAATATTATCGATATGCAAACTATAACATCATATAATCAAAACAGTACACCAAATACTAGTACTAGCCATTCTATTGTGAATAATTTTTACATCTGCATACTTAAATATTATATATTTCACAAAAGCCACTCTCTCTTTATAGACAAAACTCTCATAAAAGTGATACTGACTAAAAGTCCGTGTATGTAGGACCTTAATGTATGCATAATGTAACCTGTATGCATGCATAATAATGAGTCATTACCTTTCATAAATGTATGCTAATGACCTGAAATTGAAAGGTACAATTCATGAATATAATAATAATATTTACCATTATACTTCTACCAACAATAGAATACTCTCCGAACAATGTCAGGTGAGTTTCATTCTTCCATGCATCCATAGCACCATCTTTACCAGACTGTAGTGTCCCCAAGTCACCTACATCACTGAAAAACAACAATAACATAATAAACCTTACTGAGCTAGATTCATACCAAGTTACGTGCCCTTGAATTTAAAAATAGTGCTAATTTCGAGGCCAAATATTTCACAATTAAGGAAGCAATGCCTTATTATTTTCTGCTTTTCATTATGTTGACTTCCTTGCAAGTGAGTATGCCACATTTCAGGCATTGGTAATTACATTGTAGTACGTTTTTTTTTTAATTTACTTTTCGTCTGGCCAATTTTCTTTTAAAAATGGCTTATTTTAAAGGATTTACAGTATCGGAACTGAATATGACATTCTATGAAATTTTCCACATTTATCAATAGTAATCATAAGGTTTGTAAAACTTATGTGTAAGTCATCTGCCCTTAAACCGACCTGAAATAAATAAATAAAAGATCAAAACAAAATTTTAAAAAATCCAGATAAATCTGTGGACCCCAATTATTTTTTCGCTTAAATTGTTTCTGTACTTATATTTTAATGTCATGGAAAATTTAAATTAGTGTTACGCAGTTTTCACTATAAGCAGTCCTTGCTTTTAGCCAATAATTTACAACATTTATAAACAGTGGAACCTTTTCTTGTTCCGGTGTTGCCAGATTTCAGTATCTTCTTGCAAAATTTGAGATGATTTCGCTTTTGTTCATACTTCACAAGAGTTATTAAAAAGGTAGCCACAAAATGTGTCAAATAATTGACACAATAATAATCAAATATTATTTCATAAAGAATTCACAGCTTTAAGTCCTTTACACATCAATTTATTTTGATTTATTTTGAAAACTCCTGATAAGCTAAAAACGGAGGTTCACCCTGTTCCAAGCCTATAACTGCGGACTCTGTATTTTTCCACGCCTTCCACTTCAGCATGCAATGATCTCCATAAATTTATAAAGGTATGTTCTGTGCTAATCGGTTTTGTCTTCTGATAAACCAAACGCGAGACCGATTGTTTAAAGGCACAATGATATTGAACAACAACAAACAAACAAAAAAACCCAAACATTTTTTTTTCATCTTAAAGGGATATCATTTGTTTTAATTCCATTATTTTATTGATTTATTTTGATAATATAGTGGTAAAAAACACTGAATGTGATATAATATCATGAAAAGAAGCAAAACGTAAACAAAAGTGGTATTTTCACTTTCATACACGATAATTCTTCTAAATACCAAAATGCAAATGTAGCCGAAGATGGGTCAGTTATATGGCCGGGAAATTGCAACAGAACACCAAATATTAAAATATTTAAATAAGTATAACAATAATTTTTTGAGGGGAGGGGACCAGATGGGGGGGGGGGTATGGGGGCGCTTAATGTACCTTTAAAGTAAAGAAAAACATGTATAATTTACTCTACAATGACTCACTTATCGTGATAAGGATCGTAATGTCCACCGACATTTGCACAATCGTCGGAAAGGTCGCCATATTGGTGCACGTGGAACTCGAATTCGCTGTTTTCATGTGCTAGCTTATTGTAATGAAAATGGAAGCTAGCTGACCGGTCGTGGTCCTAAACAGAATAAAAAACAATTTATTAAGTAAACAAGAAAAAGTCTTTGGCACCCCTACTTGTATAAATGTAAACGTCTAATGGTATAAATATAAACACTATAATATAAATGTATATACATAAAAGTATATATATTTGAACGTCAAATAGTATGAAAGTGAACGTCTGATAGTATAAATGTAAACATCGAATAGCATATATGTGAACTCTAGACAACTTATTATGTAAACATTATAATATGATTTTAGGCTATGTTTGACGCCGCGTCAGCAGAATAGAGGTGATATGGCGACTTTTCAGTTTTATTGATGCAGGAAGACGTCATGCTTTCCTCCGTTTGCAGGTTCGAGCAAGCACCAGTGTAGAACCACCAATGCTAGCTGGATAACTTCCACACATTGAAAAAATCCAAAGTCTCTGGCAAGATTCGAACCTGCAGTGGTGAGGGACAAGTGGTTTGAAATCAACGACCTTAACATAAAACAAGTAATGTTTCCCACTTT